GACGTTTGAACGTTCGACGTTCACGTTTTACAGATGAAAACTTCGGCCGCAACCTCTCTATTTTATGTATGTACTGTACATAACTGAACTACAACAGTGTAGCATATGATGATATTGATTAAAGCGAGTGCTGAGTATATCTGGCGATCCCTGTTACATACCTGAGTCTACCTACCTTTTATTTTTAGAAGTGAAGATTAAATTATTTACTACATAATAATAATATATTTCTCGNGTGTATATAATGGTTACATCATATATTTTCCGAAATAATGGATTATATTTTATTATTCTATCTAACAACTAATATAATAATTAATGAGATTGATCGGTTCTATGGATCTTCCTATACATATATTTCATGATGTTTTTTTTTCTTTTTATGTTATATTTTTGCAATTAAATCGGTTTTTCTGCATGGTAATTTCGAATTAAATCGTAGAAGATATTTTCAAATTTGATTATTAACGGATCCACGGAGTTAAAAATAATTTTCAAATTTAAAAATGATCGCTATCCAATTACGTTATACAAAAACGAAATTTACATTTTTAACAGCCAATCGCAGTGCGATTAATAGGAAAAAAAACGGTTTTCTTAACAAATCGAATACTAAAAGAGAATATTTTATTTATTACCTTAATTAAATTTAAGTTAGTATAAAATATAAACAGTTAAATGACAATATTAAATTTTGAAGGCTAATTACTTAGATTAACTGTGAAATAAATTACAGATGATAACGAAGTGAGTTTTTGGATGTACGCCATGATTTGCGTGGGATGTGCTTTTGTAATATTCGTGGCGGTAACTGTCTATCTTATGTGGTAAGTGAGATTCGTTTTAACAAAAAGAAAAGTAAAAAAAATGAAGTAGAATGTCCTTCAAGTGGTCTAATTATCTTTCAGTACCCAAAAGTCTTCGGCTAGAAACCAGCAAGAAGTGCGCGGCCTTCGGATGAAAGCCTACCCTCCGTGAACGGTGCCATCTTACCTGGCGCCTCCGCTTTCGTTCCACACCTTTCTTTGTTAAGTCCCGTCTCAGTTGGTGTTTCACGTGCCTTTTTTCGACCCACCGAAAAACGTCGTTGGCCATAGGAAGACGTTAAAGCTAAAGGGTAGTCTTCTGTAAATAACATTCATACATTTTCATACGGAAGATAATTATGTTACCTGTTTACAGCTTCTTTCGTACGCCACGTGTTAAATATTTCTCATTCGTTGAAGATTAATATATAAAATGTATATCAGAATATAATTAATAAACTATATTTATCGAGATGATAATGATTTAATAGTTTATTTCTTTAAAAAGAAAATGTAATATTTAATGAATTTGTCTTAACATAATGGTTTCCATACTTTCTATACAGTACTTTCACCCTCTCTTTTTCAGAAAAAAATTGTTGCACCCCCCTCAATTTTCGTAACAATCTAATTTTATAAATTCTGTTCTTATAATTTATTTAATGACCTATAAAACAATATACCTTATTAAATAAAGTATATTGTTCGTCGGGCTCGACTCTTGTACAGTACAGACGTTTCGGCAAGAGTGTGGATGGATTTTTAGCATTCGTACCCACAAAGGTTGTTTTTCTGATTCATTTTTTCGACATTGATTTGACTTATTTTGTTTATTTGTATTAAAAAATGATAATTTGGTAAAAGCTGCGCTTCCCTCCTTGCAATAGCCTGGCGCCCCACAGATTGGAAAACACTGTTATTTATTTATTTCGAAGATTTTCAAAAATTTTCGTTTAATCAAAGATAAGAATCGAAAAAGTATTCTTTAGCACGTCGCTGATTTTAAACGTTTAAATATTAGCATTATTATGACATGTAAGTGACAAAATTTAATATTGAAACCGAATGTTTAGATAGAAAAATAGCTTTAAAATCTTTAAAAATCGAAATGCTTGAATATTTTTATTTATTTTTTTATACGAAAAAATGTTGTTATTATTTTTATTACATCCGAAAAGCATTGAATAATAGAGACTGCGATATTTGAAAAGATAATATGAATTTCGTAGAGGCTACAAAACACTTAGACTTTTGATTTAATCTTTAGAAAACTTAACAATTTTGAGTCATTTAGAAAATATAAACTCTTATAAGAGAAATTTTCAAAGGATAGTTAATACGGGCCAACCGAAATACATCCTTTTGATTCGTTCTTCAAAACAATAGAAATAATGAATTGTTGTTAACTATTATTCTCTGCGAAATATATTAAAATCTTTGTTACATTTGTTGTTATTTTGTGTTCTCCTATCTATCGTATTCTTTCTCGGTTTGTGCCATTTCATTTGAACACTGCTTCATTTTCTTTCTGTACTCCATTCATTGTTCAATGAGTTAAGCTTCTTTCTTTCTCGCTTACTTTTTTCTATTTGTTTTTTACTTATTTCACTTGTTCAACTGTGAAATATAGTATGTTTAATGTCTTGGAACATATGCAAAGTTTCTTTATGACTGACACTAGTTTTTCTTTTTCTGTATTATCTTCATACATATTTGATTTATAGGACTGTAATTTGAAAAAACTATGGACCTGTAAATTCCCACTGTCGTCTGTTGTCTGTCTGTCTGTCCTTCCTTAATATCGAGAACGGAATTAAGTAGATAAAAGTTGGAATAGATATGGAAATCTTAGTGGCTGGAGATCTCGATTAACTATATACAAACTTTCAATGGAAAAGTATGATATGATGTTCAGCTGCAAAGCACTACTAATTTCAGGTGGAGAACATATATTTTAAATGAGATCAAATAATTGTTCATTTTTAATGCTCTTCTGCGAGTTCACATTTAAAAAGCCACCAATTTTTTTTTCTACTTTTTATTAATGTTTTAGTTTCACAATCGTATAATAATAAATTCTATATAGGCCTACACAGCATTTTATTCTTCTTTCAATTCTTAAATTTAACTGAAGGTCGCATAACACAATAACCGTTTACATAAATTTCATTAAATCGAATCGATGTGTTTTGCTTTATTGGCCATAAATTAGCCCCATAAAAATTGGAAAAATATTAAAACTTTTCATTCTGAGACAATCGATTCTATTTACATTTACAAGTAATTATTTTTAGAATTTGTTTTTTTTTCTAATACATGTAATTACATTTTAGAAACTTGAACAGGCAGAACAAAGGTTTAACGAGTTCGATCAATTGTACAATAAACGATAACTAACTAAATGCAAATTATATACATTTCGTGTCTGGTTTATTTAGGATATCAATATTTAACACTAAATATACTACCTTCTGTAAACTTAACGTGATATTCATGACGTGAGACGATAATTATCACGTAATTATACGCGAAGAGAAATTATAATATTGTTACACGATAATACAATTCGTCATGTAATGTTTTAATTCATATACCGATATCTTCTCCATAATAATAACGGGCGAAGAAACGTGCAAATATTGATAAATTTTTCTATCTTATAATAATATAAATTTTAAATTATAAACTACTATTTTAGTAAATGTACGCTATAGAAGACATTCATGAATTTAAAAGCGAAATGGAATCTTAATGTAATAAATATAGTATTGAGTTATATCAATTAATCAATCGTTAAAAATATCTGAAATGTTTTGCTTATATATCATTTTATTTATTTTCAAGCTTTTGTACATTGGATTTTCAATCATTTCAGTCTAGTGCTGATTCAACACTAATGCAATTTATTAACCTATTTACAACCTCTCTGAAGAGAATCTGCTCTTGTTATTTTTATTTATTGACATAATCGTACATTTACAGTGATCTAATTTGGTAGAAAATATCACAAAATGTAATCGCACTTAACATTTTGCAGAGTCATAACTTTTAGAAGAAAACTACTTCAAAAAGATTAATAGATTTATTTAAAGAAATTTCTAGCAGATTTTCATCTGGAGAGAAAAATCTTATATAGTTTATAATTTAAATATACACAGATATATATTTAATATACAAGTAGATCCCCCTATAACTTTGTTCTTATAAATTGATCAATCATTAATCAACGAAGACTAATTTTCTATATTAAAGAGACTTTTCTACTATTGATTGATCAGTGTCAATAAAATTTATCGGTATCAACGGATTGATCAGCATCAATAATATTATTTTTCAGTATGTTTTATTTTTAAATAATAATAACTTTTGGNTGACTCGTACAACATGGAATTCATATAACACTGAATTATCAACAATGTTATAGGGGAATCTACTATAATAAAGCTATATGGAACTCACTGAGACTGACTAACGAAGTGACCATTCAATTTTTGGAGCCTTACAGAACGCCAAAACATCTGAGTGTCGATTAATTTAAACTTTATTTACCTGTTTTTAAAATGTTTATTACTATTATTATCATTTCGTATAGTTAACATAGACCAATCTTTAATGGAAATGATAATAAAACAAAGCTATTCTTCCTGGAATTTCTAAAATTGCATTTGTAATATGATATTTGAATTATTTCGGATAATTATCCCGAATAAAAAGAAAAAAAAAAAAAACAATGACGTGAATAACGATAAGAATTAGTCTAATAGAAGTTATAAATAAAATCGTTTAAGAGTAATTTATAAAACTGATCTCGACTGATGTTTTTTTTCAGTTTTATCCTTTTATTCTAAAGATATAAAGAATAGAAAATATAGTTATTAGTTCTATAAGCCGAGTATACTAGTAAACTTTGAACAAGTTTCTTATTTTTCGAAAAAGTAATGGAATCTATAAGTGATTTTATAGAGATTTTTATTTCTTAAAAGCCAATTAATTAATTAATTTTTATATGATAAAACAGGAGAGAAATTTTCTATACTCGAAACAATTGAATGACACATATTAATTGTACTGGTACAATTAACATTTGTCATTCGATCGATGAAAACAATTTTTCGTTTCTTAAGTTTATAACTTTGAAATGAACTCGATTAATTTAACATAAATGATGAGACAAACGATATTTATTTTGGAAAGGTGCCCTTACCACCTCTAAGTGAGTCGTGTAACCTGGAATGTCCCATCGATTGTCAGCTGTCCGAGTGGTCAGAATGGAATTACGAGCAATGCAAACCATGCAACCATAAAGGTATATTTTCGAATTGTTTCCTCTTTCGTTTATCATTATGCCGCCTTATTCATACGATTGTAATTAAACCTAGGAGAGAAGTGGAGAATTCGTAGGATTATTCAAGAAGCTAGCGAAACGGGTCGACCTTGCGCCTACGATTTGATTCAGAAAATACCCTGTTCTTACATTCCCTGTTATCATTGGTTGATAGGAGAATGGTCCGACTGTTTTCTCCAGGTAATTGTTTATCCCAGATTTTAAGGATATATTTAGTTTCAATTCTAACGAATGATTTCCGATAGGGAGCAGAATGTGGTCAAGGTTATAGGAAAAGACAAGTGGAGTGTCTTAGAACGGACGGTGTTAGAGTCGATAAGAAGAGCTGCCTGAGGATCAACGTAACGGCAGAAGTAGAAGGATGGCTCGATCCTAGATGGTTGGAAATTGTTAAAGATGTCGAAGTAATAAATTTATATATATATATATATTTTTATTTCTAAACGTAGCCATTAAATTATAAAAGAAACAAAACTTGAAAAAATAAAAACATTTTGCTAGAAAGAATGGATCGATACGTGGTTGTTTGTTAAAAAGATAAAAGATAAATCGTACATATAATATTTATAAAATTGCTGTGATTTTCTGTTTCATATCATTTTTGGCTAAATTATATACATAAATTTATTTATAACATATTTATTATATGACAATTTTCATCAAAAATTGAATGTAGTAAATAAATTACGTATAGGTCTATATAAATTTACAAAAATAACACACGAACAATTATTTATTCTTTGTAAACAATAATTTACTCCTTTATTTATTGTAAACTTTAAAAACATTAGTAATTAAATCTAAACAAAATTCAGATTTAAAATTTTAAAATTATCATATGTTTCTATTTAACAAGATGGTACAGTACATTCTTGTTAAAATGATTAAAGTGATGCTGCTTAGTGGATTTTCTCCGTAAGCATTATCTGTAATTATTAGAGTAATTTCATTATCATCCCAAAATTAATTAATTAAAGTTGTTTTAGTTTTAAATGTTTTCATCTTTTTTCAATAAAAAAATTCTTAAAATATATATAAAATAAACATTATTTTATTATATATATATATATACAGGAAGTACAAATTTGTGAAAAATCTTGTCCAGGTGATTGTTCTCTCACATCTTGGTCTTCTTGGAGCGATTGTCAAAGGAATTGCATAGAAAATGAAGTCGGTAAGATGTATTTTATTTTATGAATGCGTTATATTTTGTATTATTTGTAATTAAAAATAAACAACGAATAAACTTTTAACAATCAGTCGGATATCAAACAAGATCTAGAGCAGTAATCGAAGGAAAGAAATGTAATGTTACACTATGGGAAACGAGACCGTGTTTCAGTAAGTTTATATAAAAATTTAAAGAATTTTTTTGACAGATTTTATTCTCATAATTTTAAAAATATTTCTAGCTGATATCTGCCTAATTTATAAATGGAAAGTAACGGGTGATGCGGTGGAGTGTGTAAGATCGGATGGTAAAATCGTTTACGGTGAGTTATGGTTAGTTTTCATCTCTCAAAAATAAATATTTTAAGCTAAAACATCATTTATAACGTTAATTTACAAGCGCTGTATCTAGCTTTCGTTCGATACTTATTACTTACATTTAAAACATCTTTCTAAGTCAGTGTTTTTCAACCTTCTTGAATACGCGACCCCTTTACAAGTTAAAAAATTCTGGCGACCCCCCACGGCCATATTAAAACTATGTCAGTGATTTTCTTTTACAGTATTTAATTTTCTTTCTGTTGAGATTTAAATAGCGATCAAAACACTAATTGTACTGTAAAATAAACAGGCACAGCCTTCTCACTGAAATTGTAGTTTTTTTTATTGTAGTGTAGGACGTACTGTACAAACACTTGTCTTTTTCTTTTATCCGCAATCCCCCGTGTATGGCTTTGCGACCCACAGGTTGAAAAGCATTTTACTAAAGCATTTTACATACAATTTACTTAAAGTTTATTTAGCGTTAATTTTTACTTTTATCGTAAATATTTATTAAGTTCGTTATATTAATAACTTTCGGTAGATAATAATAAAACTTTAATACCTGTTAATGAATGCTTGGAAATTAAAAGGAAAAAGGTAATAATAACGAAAATCGAGTTCTCTTTATTCCAATCAGGTGGCTGCGAGAACCAGCAACGTCCTTGCTACCCAGAATGCATCGCTCAGCATGCTCACTGCGATCATGTGCTTGGCCAATGTGTGTGTGATGCAGGCACTTTGCCAGTTCATCGTACGTCGACTGTGGCCAGAAATGACTTACTTTCACTCGTTAAATGCGTCAACGTGAGCATTATGGACGTCGATTACCTCACTAATCACACTACTAAAGAAGAAATTATCCTCCGCTACTCCCCAAGTAAGTTCCTTTATACGTAATTTTTCTACGAATATTATAATAGCAATCGTCTCTACGACTGTCTAGTGATATTTTCTATAGTATAACTTATTTTTAAAAAAATCAAACTATAATTAATTAAAATTCTTATCTACTCTGTAAGCCACTACAAGAGAATAGAATAAATTAATTTTAAATCCTCTCAGAATATTTGAGTAAAATATTTATTACAAATTAATATTTACAACATGTAAATTATCATTATTATATTGTAATAATCTATGTTTAAGTATTTATTCTGTAATTATAAGGTAATTAAAAAATATATATAGGCCTATGTTATTATTTATATGTTAGGAAATTATATTTAGCAAAAATAAAATGTCTAGTTTGTTTAACTTTAAAATCAATTAAATATTAGATTCAAATTCTAATACGAATAAATGGAAATTTTAATAGAAAGAATTATACATTCCTGTTGAAATAATTAAATAATATATAATATAA